AGCTTGCAGGAGTGAGTGACCAGTATTTAACAGTGATGCAAGGCCAGAAGCCAGAGCCTGCAGCATGCAAACCACAATAGGTGAGTGATTACTTGCACTGGCAGCGGTGCGGTGACAAGTTGCCAGATGCTGATGACGAAGTCGTCGTACGTAGGTCTTAAATCACTATTGTGGAGATCCTTCACCCGTGATGTTTATAACCATATATGCTCATACACCCCGCGTTCCTCACGTGATTTCACTTTTCACTTATGATAGTATACACTTCACATTATATACACTTCGCTTTATATGTATAATGGCACACAACTGTTGTGACGTCACTGCTTCAGCAGGCCTACTGCTGCCACCTTCCCTTGTTGTATAATTTATTTTTCCTTTCTCCTTTTGCTTATTAACTCTTTCACTCTCACTGTATGGTGCCCCACAATTCACTTGTTAACCAAATGCTGGTAATTCTTGAACACCCACTTCCACACTCACTCTGATCTTTGTATGTTTGAATCTGTGTGGCAACAGTGCCTAGTAGACCCACAACGGTTTGGCACTTCGAAATATTAATGATTTCAGGCTTCCTCTCGACTTTTTTTTTTTAACTAATGACTTTAGTTATCACTTGTAGGATTGTTCACTGACGTTGTCACTACCACTGATTACTGCTAGCAGTTACTGCACGCCTTAAAAAACACTAAGGTTCTCGGAGCCTTGTGTACCCACGTCTGCTGACTGTGTGTGTGTGTGTGTGTGTGTGTGTGTGTGTGTGTGTGTGTGTGTGTGTGTGTGTGTATGTGTGTGTGTACCCTCCTAGTTGTACTCACCTAGTTAATGTTGCAGGGGTCGAATCATAGCTCCTTGTCCCACCTCCTAACTGGTCACTACTGGGTCACTCTCCCAGAACCATGAGCTTTAACATACCTCTGCTTAAAGCTATGTACGGATCGTGCCTCTACTACATCACTTCCCAAACTATTCCACTTCCTGACTACTCTGTTACTGAAGAAATACTTCCTAACATCCCTGTGATTCATCTGTGTTTTCAACTTCCAACTGTGTCCTCTTGTTGCTGTGTCCCATCTCTGGAACATTCTGTTTCTGTCCATCTTGTCAATTTCTCTAAGTATTTTATATGTCGTTATCATGTCGTTATCATGTCGACGGGCAGAAAGCAGCAGCTTCGCTCTGGCTGTACCCTTCCCTAGAATATCACTTCATCTGAGATCATTTATCCCCAGGATGGCTCGAGTATGGAACACATTCGTACAACATTTCACCTTGTGGAGAAATTTTCTCCAGGAGGGGGTATAAGCCCCCTTCAGCCCCTTTCAGCCCTGAGGGGCTCAGCCCTCTCAGAAGGGGCAAGCATCTTGTTTACTGCTACAGCAAGTAATTGATCCCAGATACAATATGCGACGTGGTCAAGCGACCACCGCTCCTTGCAAGAGTCCAGTGTTGCAAAGTGTAGTTTAATAAAAGACAGCCCATCTCTTACCTTAGCAGGACAATTAAGGAAAATCCTGCTCCCACTTTATTACCATGGTAAAGATAGTTTACATTGTTGTCTATGCTTAAGACAGGAAGAATCAAGCATTTTGCTTTGCTTCATGGAGGAAGTGGCAAGGAAGCAAAAGTACTAGGTCAGCTTTTCCTTTACGTTCTAGGGGCATTGGAGCGGTGTAGGGCACTGTGAGGTCAGATTACTTTTCACCCTACTGGGAGTCACACTGACGCCAGGATAACCAATAAAGAACACTGATCGGTGCATTAGTGTGAACAAAGTGTCTCACAAAACACGATAAACACTTACAAAGAAGTGTGATCAACTTCTTTAGTGATATGGTGTGAACAATTATTGATGAACAGTGTAACAACGAGTGTTGTGATCCAACAGAGTGTAGTGCGACATTCTTCAAGGAACACTATTCTTCAATCAACTCATCGGATATCCGGGTGTAACTACGGGTCAGATACATATACCCAGGTAAGTGTTCTAACTCGTGATGTACTACTATTGACTGCACAGTTGAGTCTAAGTTACAAGTTAGTCACTTATCATAAACCCCGGTGATAAGTGGACCTTTGAGTCCACACAAGTAAGTGCCGTCAGCCATCAGTGAATGAAATATGCTGACATAACACCCCCTAGGGGTAATTTATTATCATACATAATATAATCTTTTACAGCCCATTAAGAAGTGAATGAGACAGCTTCTCAAGACCTCGTCTGCAGGGGTGGTTGTGTGGACGATAGCTGTCTTATCAGCTAAGTACTCCCTATATTTAATCTTTAACCATAGCTGGTAAACCATTTCTCAATACACCTGTCCTCCAGTGTCGTCAGGTCAATTTCCTTTAACCTCTCCTCGTGGGGCATACCCCTTAGCTCTGGTACTAGTCTTGTTTCAAACTTTTGCACTTTCTCTAGTTTATTTATGTGCTTGGCTAGGCGTGGGTACCAAACTGGTGCCGCATACTCCAATATGGGCCTAACATACACAGTGTACAGGGTCCTAAAAGATTCCAATTTCCTTGAGTGAGGTTTGTAGTCTCTGGTCCACTAGACTGTACTCCATCTGCGGTCTTCTTTGCCTGTCCCTAATCTTCATGACTTTGCACTTGATGGCGTTGAACTCCAGGAGCCAGTTGTCGGACCAGGCCTGCAGCCTGTCCAGATCCCTTTGTAGTTCTGCCTGGTCCTTGTCCGATTGAATTTTCATCAACTTCATGTCATCTGCAAGCAAGGACTCTTCAGAGTCTATTCCTTCCGTCATGTCGTTCACAAAGACTAGAAACAGCACTGGTCCTAGGACTGACCCCTGTGGAACTCCACTCGTCACAGGCCCCACTCTAACATCTCGCCACGTACCATGACTTGCTGCTGTCTTCCTGACAAGTATTCCCTGATCCATTGCAGTGCCTTCCCTGTTATCCCTGCTTGTTCCTCCAGTTTTTGCACTAATCTCTTGTGTGGAACTGTGTCAAACGCCTTCTTACAGTCCAAGAAAATGCAATCCACCCACCCCTCTCTCTCTTGTCTTACTGCTGTCACCATGTCATAGAACTTCAGTAGGTTTGTGGCACAGGATTTCCCATCCCTGGAACCGTGTTGGCTGTTGTTGATAAGCTCATTCCTTTCTAGGTGTTCCACCACTCTTCTGATAATCTTCTCCATGACTTTGCATACTATACATATCAGTGACACTGGTCTATAGTTTAGTGCTTCTTGTCTGTCTCCTTTTTTAAAAATTGGGACTACATTTGCTGTCTTCCATGCCTCAAGTTATCTCCCTGTTTCGACACATGTGTTGAATATTGTTGTTAGGGGAAGACATAGCGCCTTTGCTCCCTCTCTCAGGACCCAAGGAGAGATGTTATCCGGCCCCACCGACTTTGACGTGTTTAGCTCGCTCAGCAGCCTCTTCACTTCTTCCGTGGTTGTATGTATTGTGTCCAACACTTGGTGGTGTACCCCACCTCTCCGTTCTTCTGGAGTCCCTTCTGTCTCCTCTGTGAACACTTCTTTGATTCTCATGTTGAGTTCCTCACATACTTTGCGGTCGTTTCTTGTGATCTCTCTTCCTTCCGTCCTTAGCCTGATTACCTGGTCCTTGACTGTTGTTTTCTTCCTGATGTTACTGTACAACAGCTTCAGATCAGATTTATCTTTCGCTGCTATGTTATTTTCCTATAGTCTTTCTGCCTCCCTTCTTACCTGTGTGCATATTCATTTCTGGCTCTACTACTGCTCTCCTTATTCTCCTGGGTCCTTTGCCTTCTATACTTCTTCCATTCCCTAGCACATTTGGTTCTGGCCTCCCTGCGCCTTTGGGTGAACTACGGGCTCATCCTGGATTTTCATTATTCTTGTTACCCTTGGGTATGTGTGTGTGTGCGTGTGTGTGTGTGGTGTGTGTGTGTGTGTGTGTGTGTGTGTGTGTGTGCGTGTGTGTGTGTGTGTGAAGGTGTAAATGAGTGTGAGTGTGTGAGAGCGAGTGTGAGTGAGTGTGTAAGCGTATCTGAGTGAGTGAGCGAGTGTGTGCTATCATTCAACAAAAGATTCATACTAAGCTAAACGCTGTTCCAAATCAAACCGATTTTTTTCTTCAACCAATTTCTTTTATTTTCCCCTTTATTATTATTATCACCACGAACTCGCGATATTAAAGGAAGATAGACACAACCTTGAATAACACACTCAGTTAGTCATCCTTACTTATTATATATCCTCAGTGTTGTGTCAAGAAATCGTAATAACACCATTGTAAACACACCACGGAACGAGCAGCTCACGCGTTCGCCTGGACTTTTACCCCTCACTTGCCGCGAGTTCAGTCCCCTACCCGTACCGTAGTGTTGTGTTGTGTCATGAACTCCTCTAATTTGTGCCGGTTAGAAGTGCTCTTTATTGCCCACTTCTCTGTGTTTTGATGCTGGGGACGGGCTCTTGATCCACGGAATGCGAGCTCTCCACCCATTTGGATCAAACCTCATTATCTCCTATAACCCTATGGGGGTTTAGCCCTTCTCCACGAATATAATAATAATAATAATAATTTTTTTTTTATTCGCCGGTATTCTCCCGGCCCAGGTCTTTTCCAAGCAGTGGTGACCCGGCCTTGGCTCCCTATCTGGGGAGTGTACAAGTACAAGTACAAGTACCCCCTCATCTGTGGGACCAACTGTCCCCAGGCCTAGCCACATTCCCCGCCCTCACGAGGCTCGTAGGGAGAAGCTAGGCCTCTGGTCTGCCATCTGCCCCGCCCCAAAGGGGCTCGTGGAGATGGCAGTCTTATGAGCTACAGATGGGAGCAAGCTCAGGCTCTAATAATAATAATAATAATAATAATTAATAATAATAATAATAATAATAATAATAATAATAAAATATGTTAAATAATATTAATATAATAATATTTATAATGATAATAAAATAATAATAATAATAATAATAATAATAATAATAATAATAATAATAATAATAATTATAATAATCTATGTTATAGGATCGACAAGGACTGCAGTCGGC